GCAACGCGTATTAGGCGTTGACTTATCCCTTCTTAGGATTCGGGATAAAATTCCCCATACATGCAATGTATGGATTCAGAGATTATCAATTTAATGATAATCACTGGCTACGATATTGAATATGTAGACTTTGCCATTATTGCGGGAATGCGCTACCCGGCAGCATGTGTTAGATGCAGACTTATCTCTAATCAGGGATCGAGATAAAGTCCCCCATGCGTGTGAGGCATGGATTTCGGCGTTATTAATAACGACCTGCTACGATGTTGAATACGTAGACTTTTGTCCTTTTTACGGTCAAAGACTCACCGGCAACGCGTATTAGGCGTTGACTTATCCCTTCTTAGGATTCGGGATAAAATTCCCCATACATGCAATGTATGGATTCAGAGATTATCAATTTAATGATAATCACTGGCTACGATATTGAATATGTAGACTTTGCCATTATTGCGGGAATGCGCTACCCGGGAGCATGTGTTAGATGCAGACTTATCTCTAATTAGGGATCGAGATAAAGTCCCCCATGCGTGTGAGGCATGGATTTCGGCGTTATTAATAACGACCTGCCACGATATTGAATACATGGGTTTTTTGTCCTTTTTACGGTCAAAGACTCACCGGCAACGCGTATCAGGCGTTGACTTATCCCTTCTTAGGATTCGGGATAAAATTCCTCATACATGCAATGTATGGATTCAGAGATTATCAATTTAATGATAATCACTGGCTACGATATTGAATACGTAGACTTTGTCACTGTTTCTTCCTGTGTTATTCGAAACACTGAAAGAAAATTAGAAGTGACAGAGGTGTAATATTAACTTGGCATGAGTTTTCACTTAGAGTGAAATTCAAAAATTTTCTTTATTATCACTAGGATAATTCCAGAAAATCTTTAATCCACTGGGGATTTTATAATGAAAACTTGCTATTCTTGTTGAAAAAGAATTAACAAGTTCATTGAGGAGGGTTTGACTGTTAGAGGTGTGATGTTAACCGATTAACAAGTTCATTGGGGAGGGTTTGACTATTAGAGGTGTGATGTTAACCTAACAGTATTTTATGGGCTTATCGCTCTATTGAAGAGAGTCGATAAGTTGATTTGGTCGTCAGAGGTGTGATGTTAACTTGACTGGTTCGTGGACCTATCGCTCTATTGAAGAGAGTCGATAAGTTGATTGTTGCGATCAAGGCAACTTTGAGGACCTATCGCTCTATTAGAGAGAGTCGATAAGTGGATTGTGTCAGAGGTTTGATGTTAACGTGACAGGAGGATGTTGCGATTGGAGCAACTTTGTGGACTTATCATCCTTTTGACGAGGATTGATAAGTGGATTGTCAGAGGTTTAGTGTTAACGTGACAGGATGATGTTGTGATTGGAGCAACTTTGGGGACTTATCATCCTATTGAAGAGGATTGATAAGTGGATTTGTCAGAGGTTTGATGTTAACGTTGTTCGCGGGAAAAATCGTAGCTTTCTTCATTGTTGATATCATTGCTATCTCAGTTAACAACTTTATGCGTTACAAAGATCCGGTCTTTTTATAAGATCCGGTTACAATGAAAAATCAAAGAAAACAAAGTAAAGATTACAATTTTTTCCTTATTTGTCGAACTAATCGCGAGCTCCTGTTTTGCGGTCGCTCGCTTTGGTGGGTTCTTTGCCTGCGCCGGGGTTATTTGCCGTGGACCACCGCGTGATCTCGATCCGGTCGGATCTACACGATATGACGGGTAATATTCCACCAAGGGAATAATAGCCGGGAGGGATTGTTTCACCAAGGAAACAACCGCTCGAATCTCGGGATCTAAGAACCAAGCTTAGATCCGGAGTGTGATCGTGTAGATCTCAAATCCAATCCTCTCGAACTCCTGCCTTATTTGGCGGTGGTGATCGCCGAGCACCGGATCTGAAAGTCCAAGTCTCCAAGCCTTCAAAGTTGTGATCTTTTTTTAGATCTGAGTCTTCAATCCAGCAGGGCTTCGCCTCTCTCCAAAATTTCCAACCTCTGAAACAAATGAGCACAAGGCCTATTTATAGGCACTCGAAACTGTGCCTTGGGCACGAAACAGGGCCTAGCCACCCATGGGTGGCTCCGCCAAAGCCGAGCTTGGCCGAGCCACCCTGAGGTGGCTCGGCCTTGGCCGAGCCACCCTGAGGTGGCTCGGCCTTGGCCGAGCCACCCTGAGGTGGCTCGGCCTTGGCCGAGCCACCTTGGGGTGGCTCGGTTCAAAGCCGAGTCCCCCGGGGTTTGGGCTTGTGTTCGTTTCGTGGTTCGGATTCCGTCATTCGGGTTCGATTATTCGTGATTTGATTTAGACTTCGACTCGGTTGTGTGGTTGACTTGTTCGGATTCGATTTGTTGATCCGATTCCTGATTAGGCAGTAAGTCCACTTCTGAGTTCAAGTCCGAAGCTTGATTTTGATTCGATCACGATTCGTCCGAGTCTGTATTTGGTTGAATGACTCATTGATGAATCAACCCGTTGGCTTGATTCCGCACGTGAGTGGATCCATTCCATTGTTTACGTGCGGTTCATCGGCTTCGTAGCCTTGTTATCCCGCTTCGTCGCGTGTCGTTTGGCTTCGGTGTTGCGGATTAACGATCTTGTTTGGATACGTCGCCTGATGGTTCGTTCTGTCGAATCGGCATCGTCGAGCTGTGCTAAGGGACCTATAGGCAATTTTATACGCCTACAGATACCCCCTCCAAAGTATTTCAGTCTCATTCTTTTATAGAAGAGTCTGGAATACTTTGGATGTGATTGTCCCAACCTTCAGTCGGTGTAACGGGACTCTGGAATGACTTCTGTTCTGGATTCCTTCAATTCCTTCAGGCTATTCAGTGCTTTGTAGAATGCCTGTAGGGGTTCCGGTGCTGCATTTATTGTCTGACCGTTGTTGGAATTTGAACTTGAAGTCGATTCTTGATTTCTTGACTTTTTGGCTCGAGTTTGCTGCTTCAGCACAGAACTTATCATCGATTGACTGCGTTGAATCTTCATCTATAACGCGTTGTCTGGCGTTTGAGCTTCATTGCGACGCGTTGTCCGGCGTCCGGGCTTCATTATGATGCACTGTTCGGCATTTGACACAGTTTATACTCGTAAGTCTGCTGGAGTACACACGATTTAAGCTCTTAGGGAATTGGAGCATGGATCTTATCCCAAAGTCGTTGGATGCTCGAGTCACGAGACCAACTCACAAAGTTGATGCGTCAATGACTCGCATATTTATAGGATTTTTGGCAAATCCTCAGCCATCAACGGGTTTGATGCGCCTTTACCGACTACCGTTTGAGTCGGGCTAGCATGCGGATTGTTTTAAGTCCGTTCCGCATGTGACGTTATGCTAAAAGAGTTAACTCTTTTAGTGCTACGATATTGAATACGTAGACTTCGTCTTTCTCCTGTGAAAAGACTAAACAGCTGGGTTGAATTGTAGATTACCCATATCTGTAATTGAATCCACCATCTTTAATTTCTTGCATTTTCTTTTATTCTAGAATTTTGTTCTTCATTCTTGATTTTTTTTTATTATTTTTTCCTTCTCACCTTATTAATCATACTCATTCTTTTTCAAATCCACTCTCACTTACACTTTGCATTTATTTACACACCATTTTCACTCTCTCAATCTCTTCACAATCATATTCACTTATCACTCCTACTTGTCATGCACATAACATAAGAACCGATTTCATATTTTCTCCTACAAAACACCTTCTTCGTGGGATCGATATCTTAAATACTATAACTTGACACGATTGTGCACTTGCAACCTTTTTGGTACATGTTTATGCCGCATCAATATATTAGTTTGAACTTAATTTAAAAATTATTAGGATTTGATTAAGTTAGAATTTAATTAGGATTAGGATAGTTTAAACTTTGAAGTTATTTGATTAGGATTAGAATAAATCATTAAATACAATTTAAAAATTAGAATTGATTAGTGATAGGATAGTTCAAACTTAACTTTGCTTCATTACAACAATAATATATTTGTGAATGCACGTATTAAAGGATAGATACAATCATAGCACGTGCAATATGATATATTTGTGTAATATAAACTTATTATATTATTTTTAATAATAAATTAATCATAATATAATTTTACACGTGCAATGTAGATAAATTAGTTTAAACTTTTAGATAGTGTATAATATTTCAAACTTAAAAAAGTATAATATCCTAATTATATAATATCACGTATTAAGGATAGATATATTAGTTTAAACTTAATTTAAAAATTATTAGAATTTGATTAAGTTAGAATTTGATTAGGATTCGGATAGTTCAAACTGTAGTTATTTGATTAGGATTAGAATAAATCATTAAATACAATTTAAAAATTAGAATTGATTTGTGATAGGATAGTTTAAACTTTATAGGGGTATTTTTGTCTACTGAAAGATTTTTCCGAACTAGTACTTTTAAAGGAAGTATGATATATATATATATATATATGTATTATCATTAATTAATGTATATTATATATACTTACATATATATTTCTAATGTATACTATACATAATTATAGTATGATATGGTCATTAATGTATATTTATATATACTTATATATAATATATAGCTATATACTAATATGTAAGTATACACTAATACATACTTATATATATAGAGAGAGAGAGAGAAAAATGGGTATGCTTGGTACCAAGCACAAAAAGTTATGCTTGGTAGTGAGGTGGCTTAATCCTCTCCACTCATTCAAATATATAGTTGCAA